ATAGCAGTAATTGAATCAAGGAGGAGTTGGACAAATTGAACCTATATTTTCTGTTTTTTTTCCCCCACTCAATTTCTTTCAGAATTATACACATCCTTTTATCTATTTCTTTCCTTTGTTCCTCCACTGTTCTGTCGCCAACCCGATTAGACACACTACCCATTAGGAGAAAATTGATCTGGTTATGTTCCCCCCCCCCCCTTATTTAATTCTCCCTCCAAGATAAACTCTGTAAATGTGAGTCAACTAGATTTGTCTCTGACTTTCTCTCTTTCAAGGAGAAAAGTTTTGTAGATCAAGTAGAAGAAGAGAGGGGAAAACATTCTAAATTGATTTTTATTTGAACAATCTGTGAAACAGTGTAAACCTGTCCATTTTTATTTAGAAATGAAGGCTGCTTAATTTGACAACTTGTATTTAAATTATTGCACTTGATGTTGGACCTGTCAAAATTTTGCATCTGACCCCTCCTCTGTCTCCTTTCAAAATTAGATTTTTATTGGGAAAAAAGTCACCTCTAACCTTTTTGAGGCTTAGAATTCCTTTTGATCTGAGGTCACCTTACACTAATAACTAGTTTCGTTTCGTTTTAATTGCATTAGGCACACTTTTTCCTAAGCAGAAGCAATTCTTTAAGAACAGAACAGTATCTGTGGATCTAACTCACATATTTGTGTAAGGCCATGAGTAATGAGGCATACGTTTTGTTTTGTTTTTTCAACATGTAAATAACATGTACTTTGCAGCATTTTAATGTATTTTCTTTTGCGGAATTTTTGATGAATTGTGGTTTGCGGTAATCAATCCTCAGTTTTAATAATTGTTTTATTCTGTCCCATTTACTGTCAAATACGAGTACATAATTTTCTTCCTTGTGCGGACCAAATTCCATTTTGTCACCCCTCAGTGGTGGGTGATATTTTATTATATAAAGAGGAAGGTGGCCTTCAGTAGATATATATGGTAAGAAAGGATCTTCTGTAGGACAATTTAATCATTTTGTCTTTGTGTGTAATGCTGCCTGGTCTATGGTGAGGCAAAGAGGTTGAACAACTATTTTATTATCCTCCATTGGGTAACTTAAAATCCTGAAATGGAAGAGAGCCCCTTTTACACCAGCAAATAATAATAATAATAATCATATCCCACAAAACCTTCAGGCATTGATACTACAAATAGGGGGATTGTGTGGGATTATTGTACGTTGAGGGCACTTTGTGTTTTATGTGTTGTATGTTTTCTGTCTACAAATCACTGTGGTCTGTGTTTGCCATCTGCAACAGTTGCATGTCTTCTAACATCATATCTATTCAGGTGGGTACATAGTGTATAGAAAATTGTAAAATATATCTGTTAAAATCAGCCTACATTAATTAACTCGAGATGCACAGTGCTAAAATGAGACTAAAATACAGGGAACAAGATGTGGCTTACTGTTTGTTTTGTCCTGTGATAACTGTGAGATCTTTCTCAGTCCTGTACCCTATTTACTCATTCACCAAGTTGTGGGATTTTTCCTTACTTTTATTATAGTTTCTGAGAGATAATGATCATGAAACAGAACTACTGTCGTAATCCCAGGTTACATTCTATGCATTAAAACATAGTTTATTAACCCAGCCTAGATAACCTCCTAACTAAGCCTTCCGTTTATTAACAGCTGAAGATCTCAAAGACTTTGGAATACATTATGGAGATTTCAAAGTCAGATTAATCTAATAAATCAACATAACCCTTGCAAATAATAAGCTTTAGCCAATGGATCTTGGGAGGACGGTGCTCATGTGGTTAAATTTGCTTACACAAATTTGCTTCTGGCACAGTTACACCTGCTATTGTGTCAAAACAATAGGAATAGGCCAGTTTTTCTGCTCTAATGCAAGGATCTCCAACCCTGGCAACTTTTAAGACTTTAAATGTCAAGCATGGCTGCCTGGGGAATTCTGGGAGTTGAAGTCCACAAGTCTTAAAAGTTGCCAAGGTTGGAGATCCCTGTGGTAATGGATGAAATATTTGGAGGGGTTGCTCAATTCATCTGAACCAGTAAAAGGCCCTGTCAAATGAAGACAATAGTCCCATTTTCTGACACTTGTTTACTGGTACAGTGGCTGCATTGCTCCCCAACTATGGAGGATAATTGCCTTGAAGGCAATTCCCGTCTTCAACTGTCACTCCAGGAAAAGTATTTTAACTGCATTTAGGAAAAGAGTCCAGTTCCCCCTTTTTACCCACCCTTTTCCAGTTTGAAGACTAGTTGATTTTAACTGCTTTTAGCTGATACAATTTCATGTTTTAGTATTCGTCCCCTTGAATGATCTCTGGGCTAGAAGCCAAAAATGCAGGTGAATAAGGAACAATAGTAAAGAGTCCAGTTGGGTGTTGGCAGGCATTGTATAGATTACATACAGAATATACAAAATATAATAATGAATTTGACTGCAATCGCTTATTCATTTGGTGTCCTTGCACAGCCATGAGAAATGTTGGTTCCTTTGCCCTTTGCTCGTCTGCTTTAAACACAGAAGTTAATTTTTAAGCAGATGCCAGTAAGATTCCCCTTCTTCCTTTTCCTAATCATTTGGCATGTAATGTTTCCTCTCTAGCCTCAAGTACTACAGCCTTCCAGCCACCTTCCCCGTTCCGCAGACCTCAGCCAGGGAAAACTAGCAAAAGCATCACTCACCGTGGCTCGCAGTGAACCCCCTCCTCAGGACCAACCGGAACATGTTGGCCACGAAGATGGCAACGCTGCCCTCGGCTCCGGCACTGACAGCGGGCGTGAACCAAGCACTTTAAACACACAGCGGAACGATGACAACTCCCTGGCGAACGCACATTCCACCAGGAACGCAACGGTCAGAGAAAAAGCAAAAGACGTCGCTGGCCGGAAGTTGAATGCCTCGCAGCCCCTTGCCCCCTCGGCCCAGTTGAATGCGCAGGACGGGCAGGCCAGGCCAGCTCTGAAAAGCCACAGCTCCAGGCCAAACCAGGCTTCGCCACCAAAGATGTCAAGAGCTCTCCGAGCCCCAAAGCAGACCGTGCCAGTGCCTCCTCCAGCAACCTCTTCGAGGGACTCCTTTGTGCCTCCACTGAGCAGCCAGGCACAATCCCAGTCAGCGTCCAACCTCTCCCTTCCGAGCAGCAGGAACCAGAGGGCCTCCAAACTTCGCCCTCCGGCCATTTCCTCCCGCCCCAAGCAGAGGACAACCCCCCAAACCGTCTCAGCTCCTGAGCAGCCGAGATTTCAGGCTGGCCCCACAAAGCCCCTGGCGCCAACGAAAGAGGCCCCACAGAACCGAGATCCAGCCCTTCGCCCTGGGGAGGGCCTGACTTTGCATCGTCTCTCCCGACTCCCAAAGCCAAAGACGTAATCCAAGCGGGACTCTCCCGTGTCATTTCCTTGGTCCTGTCCCATGACGCTGCTTGCCTGCTCTTTTCCTGGCCAGGCGGCCTCAGCAAGAGCCTGGAGGCCCCAGAAGCTGCACATCACCTGATGCTTCTACTCTCAGTTTTACCCTCTTTAAAAAAAAAATGCATTGCTTCTTCCAGCCTTGATCTGCAGGAGCCTCTGTGACGTCTTCTGATGGCACCGATGGTCGTCTTGGTCCGGGAAAGTTGCTGACGGAAATTGTATCCTTTGTGTGTCTCCCCGAAGAATGGATGACGGAGGCGACCTTCTGGTTCTGGGAATTAATTATAAGCGATGGACAAATGATACTGTCGATCTTTCTTTTGTTATTGCTGTTTTCTTCTTTCCACGTTCCTCTTCAGCCATAAGTCTGTCTCTGTAGCTCAAGAGGCCTATGCAAATTGTCTCTATTTATAACCCCCAAACTTTGTAAAAGATGTATATTTAATATTTAATGGAGGTTGTTATGTTTTCGCAAGGAAGATCCCAAATTGTTCTCTGTGTTTTTGGGGTCCCTATTCATGGTTCACAAGTGGCCACAAAATTTCACAGGGTGAAATGGATATATTTATATTTAAAGTCTTACCCGTTCCTTGTAGATAAGCTGTAGAATATATAAGTGTTAATCCATTATCATGGCGTAACGGAAAGACAGTATTTAATATATATCCCAGATTTTGGTTTATACCAACGGTTGTCAGATGGCACGTGATGTGACTCTGGAAATAACGAGTCCATGACCGCCAGCTTGTAAATTTTCATTTCAAGGCTTGCTTAACGGTAACATTATTTATTGAGTTCTGTTACAACTCAAAATCTCAAGAAGCCAATTTGGAATGTTTGCACAAAATTTTCGCCATATATGTAGGGATTCAAAAATTATTTTTCATAATAAAGCTTATGTTTTTTTAAACCCTATTTTTTTAAAATGCCAAATGCATGTATGTACACGTACACACTTGGGGAAATCTTGGGAAGTCCTAAAAGAACAAAACATTTTAATCTTGGGAGAAAAGGGATAGAAAGTCACTGGAGACAGAGAAATTCTGTCAGATAAGGCCATCAGTGGAGGGAAGGGTTAACCAGACCCACAGAAAGAAAAGGGGGTTCAATTGTCTTGAAATCTTATTCCAGTATCAATCTGAGAACACTTGTTGGAAATGGCATTTTTAAAAAAAAAAAAACACTTAAAAGTGTTAAATAAAATTTGAAAAATACACCATAGCATTGATTTTGAGCTCTGCTGAATATTACTTATAGAATGTTTCTTATAGAAAAATGCATCCTTTTAAAAATAATAATAATAATCAAAGTAATCTTCCCAAATCTGGCACCCTCCAAATATGTCAGGCTAAATCACCATTGTCCTCAAATACCCTAGCTTGTGCGTATGCTAACTGGGGACTGTGGTCTATTTGGAGGGCGTCAGATAGGCTAAATTAAGCCAGGGAAAAGTAGCTTTGGTTTTCTTAAGAAGGATAAGTAAGAAATATATGCAGCCACCTTAAGTTCATCATCAAAAGACGGACCAAGAGTTGTTAGCTGTGTTTGTGTCGCTTGTAAACCTTGAAGGTGTGCAGTGAAATGGTCTTGATGTAGCTGACCGGAAAATGCTTTCTTGAGTGGCCGACATGCTTTAAGCTTCAGTTGCCTTTTTTGTGATCAGGGATAACGGTTGAAGGAGGACTGTGTTTAAAACGGGCAGGGGTTTTCTATCGTAATGTCAGCCCCACGAACCTCGACGTGACTCACACCTTGTTTAATCCAGGATGACAAGCACATCAGCCCAGGTAGTTGGGCTGAACCCCTGGCTAGTCAGTCTGGCCCCGCGTTGGAGCAGACGGAGCCTGCCAGGTGAGCAGTTGCCCAAGCAAGCTGACTGATCCAATGTGACCCATTGGGGCCTGCCTACTTTTGGCACTATAAATATGACGGGGTCTTACCATGTTTTCCCGAAAATATGACATGTCCTGAAAATAAGGCCATGCCAGATTTTTTTGGGTGGGCAAAAATATAAGCCCTCCCCCAAAAATACGTCCCTTGGACAACCCCCTAGCAGTATCCCGAAGGTGTCAAGCTGCGGGAGCCGGGAGGGGGACAGGCGCTCGCGTGGCTTGGCACCTTTGAGATACTGCTAGGTTGGCGAGTGGCATTCTGCCCGGTGGGAGAAGGAGATTGCCGGGCAGCTGCTTATCGGTGTGGTCACCTCATGGCTGCCGTGTTGCGCTGCTCACAAGAGAGCAGCCGCCCAGCAACTCCAAAACCAGTCGTTCTCCCCCCCCCCCCCCCCGGATAATAAGGCCAAGGCCATATTTTGGAGGTCAAAAGAAAATGAGACCTTCTCTTATTTGGGGGGTAATACGGTATGTAGTTGTACAAACTTCAGCATTCCAGAGGGGATAAAAAAAATCTACAACCACTTTCTTGCTGTTTTTGACATCTTGAAAAGACGCAAGCTTTTATTTCCCCAATATTTGACACCATCTCCTTGTCCCCCCTATCAGGATGCGAATGTACCCTGTCAACAGAAGGCATCTAACCACCAAGGGGCACCTGTAGAGTTAGACAGATGAAAAACATCTGTAGATAGTTGTCCCCCTTCTCAATGGCAAGTAACCGTAATGCGGCTTATAAAAGTGTGATTGCATCAGGTTGAACTACTGCATCGGTACTGGTATTTCAGTATACATTAGGAGGCCTCCAACTAGCATTTTTCAATTTCATGTTCCCGGCCTGTTTGCTTCAGGAAGATACAGCACTTGGGGGGGGCGGGGATATTACTTTCCAAAAATAGCACTAGCCTTTTGCTCCCAATCCCATTGTCAGGCTGGCGGTAGCAGATGGCAGCATGCAAGTTTGATGTTCAACATCTAAACTGTGTCTTCAGGCAACTTGGAAGCCCCTCACCCAGAGCGGGTTGAGGGAGCTGCCCTGAGTCGTAATTTTGGGCATTTGTCGGGCAAAGTCAAGGTGGGATCTGGTGGGTTTTTAATCATGATTTGTGAATCTCCCTTATACAACAGAGAGGGCCAACCTTTTTGAATGCAGTTGGGTTGGAGAAAGTTCTCGTGTATTTTTTAGGATGTCCAGTGGATGAAAAGGATTTCCTTATTTTCGAAGCTGGCATGCAACATGCCTTGAAGGCTCATTCAACTCCCAGTAGCCTTAATGATTTCTTTAAAGTGGAAAAATAATAATAATAATCTGTGATTTTATTAATCTCTACTTTTCGTTAACATGCATTGTGTCCATTGGATTCTGCTGCATTATGCAATAATTCCTAAGGTATTCAACCACTCCAATGTGCATAATGAAGTGGCAATGGAGCAAAACAGATTTGCACTTGATGGGCTTGAAGTTGTGCCTAAATTTAAATATCCATGGCTGAAGCAGTGAAATAGTTTTTCCGTGTATATTAATGTTTGCGTTTCAGGTTTTTTAAACCCACGCTTTCCCTGGAGGATTCAGCCCATAAAACCGTATCTCCGCCTCTTCATTATCTCAAAATACTCGTGGAACAGTAGCTTGCATGCCTACACAACCTGGTCTTGCAAAGCTTTTGTCTTGTTAAGCATCTTCTCTCTGAACCTCCGCATTCTTCATGCCATAACTCAGAAGAGAAAATACCCCTAAGACGTTTGCCATAGCTAAGGCTTGAATTGCTTGATTTAAATTACCCTGCAATAAATACCACCTGCCTTGTGCAAACAAGGAGCATTACATATTTAAAGGGTTTGGAATCCAGTTATAGGGAACTTGCAAATGGTGCCAGGGGTAGTTTTCATTTACCTTCCCTACTGGTTTGCAAATGTGAACACACACACACCACTACTGGTTTGGGTGAACCAATCCGAACCGGCTGAATACCACTTCTACACTTAAGTAAGTTCTCATTCTCAAATGCTATTTGATTTGATTTGATTTGATTTAATAAATTTATAGGCCGCCCAATCCCGAAGGACTCCGGGCCGCTATATTTAGAGGCCACTAGGGTTTCCTTGCCACACTCTTTGTGTGCCTGAAGCCTTTTGTGTGATGGTGCATTAGCATCCTAAAGTTGATTTCTCTCTCTCTCTCCACCTCTCCCTCCCTCTCTCTCTCTCCCCACCCTTCATCCAATAGTTCTCCAAATGCAGCAGACTTGGTCCAACTGAAGTAGACAAGCCCTGTGAAGTCTTCCTAGATTTAAACTTCTCCTTGCCTTTTGCTGGTTCTCTGGGGCTGTGGGGTGTGGGATAATAATGTCAGTGAGTAGTGCCTTGTTGAAACGCGATCCTGGTTAGAGAGAGGACTAACTAGCTGGGCCTTCAGAAACTAAGTTAAAGTTGATCACCGCTGTGGTAAAGCTGCTCACTGCCTGTGTGATTCTCAAAAGCACCACTATTAATCAGGATTAACTGCAGTGTGAGTCTTTCTACTAAATCAGTACTGGCGGCAAAATACTGGTTGCAAAGTAAGAAGAAAAAAGAGAAATACTGTATATTGGAACCTGCTTGTAAAAATAATTTAAAAAGCCTGTATGTAAAGACATTCCTCAGTGTTGCTTTAGTGAATAAACTTCCTAATTCTGAGTGGGTTTTTGTGTGTGTGTGCTAGCTATCACTGGCTGTGTTTGAGGAGTGTGTATGTTTTGGCTGGCTGATCTTAAGAGAAACTTGAATCCTGTATTTAGAATGCATCTTCTGCCACCTAGTGTGCTCAGTGGGAACTGCTCTGTAAAATGAGAGAAACTTCCAATCTAGGGGAATTCAGTTTATTCTCAAGAAGTCAGATTGATGGTGTCCAACTTGGCAACTTTAACACTTGTGGACTTCGACTCCAAGAATTCCCCAATCAGTCTTTCTGGCTGGGGAATTCTGGGAGTCGAAGTCCACAGGTCTTAAAATTGCCAAGGTTGGACACCCTTTACATGCAGTTTTTGTTTCTCCCCTTAACTATGATAACCCTGCAAAGTTAGCCAAGAAGAAGCTTCGCAACACATCCCTTTCCATGATGACTTGTCTGAATTGATGCAGGATCCAGAACTAAACTAAACTATTTCCGATGACTGACCCAGATTGGATCTGTCAACATTTAACCTAAGATACATTGCCCTAAATTGTGTCTTAATTGTCCTCTTGGTCTAAGCACCTATTTGCCACCTACCGTATTTTTCAGAATATAAGACGCATCAAGATTTTGAAGAAGCAAATCTTAAAAAAATATTTTTGCACTCTGCAGACTTCCCAAAAATGGTCTGTTTTTTGCAAAAACGGCCCCATTTTTTTTAAAGGGCATGAATAGCGTTTAGGAGGCTTGTAGAGTGCTCCTGGAGGGGGTGGCAAAAATGAGCAAAAAATGGCCCGTTTTTGTGGGGAAAAAAAATAAGACATGCATAGCCTTTAGGAGGCTTATAGAGTGTGTTTTTCGCTCATTTCTGCCCTCCTCAGACCCCATGCGCACTCTGGAAGCCTCCTAAAGGCTAGGCACGACCATTTTGGTGAAGGGGGGTTTGTTTTGGGAGGCAAAAAATGCTGTACTCAGTGTATAAGACACAGCCAGATTTTCAGCCTCTTTTTTGAGGGAAAAAGGTGTGTCTTATACACCAAAAAATACAGTAACGGCTATATTTCAAATTATACCCCAATCATTTTCTATATCTTCCTTCCTCCCTCTCCCCTCCCCCAAAAAAGAAAAGTTTTGGCTGAGTGGCCACCATGGATTCAGACTGCCAATCTGTCATTGGCTATTGGGTTAAAGTAATACCTGAAATTTGTGTTTGCCCTCTTGAGTCTCAGACTATTTATGATGGGTTTTCACAGCACACCTGTTGAACAGAAATAACATGGGTTAGAAAGATGTAGCTTTTCTGCTCAAAGGGAAGCCTGAAGCCTCAGCAGGGCCTCTGGGGGGTGGGGGAGGCTGTTTATGCCCTCCGCAGGCTCCTAGAGAGCTGGAGCCTGCAGAGGGTGAAAAATGGGGCCATCAGGTGCCAAAAGCAAGGGGAAGGCAGGGATGTCGTGCGCGCATGATATAGCATCATGGGTGTGGGCACATCTGCGCACAAGCCCCCTGCACTCCTCCCGCTTTTGGCACGCGATGGGAAAAAGGTTCAACATCATTGCTCTAGAAAGTGCAGAGAAGAGCAACAAAGATGATTAGGGGACTGGAGGCTAAAACATGAAGAGCGGTTGCAAGAACTGGGTATGTCTAGTTTAATGAAAAGAAGAACTAGGGGAGACATGATAGCAGTGTTCCAATATCTCAGGGGTTGCCACAAAGAAGAGGGAGTCAAACTATCTCCAAAGCATCTGAGGGTAGCAATGGGTGGAAACTAATCAAGGAGAGAAGCAACTTAGCACTGAGAACATTTCCTGACAGAGCAATGAATCAGTGGAACTACTTGCCTCCAGAAGTTGTGAATGCTCCAACACTGGAAGTTTTTAAGAAGAGGTTGGACAACCATTTGTCTGACATGGTATAGGACAGTGATGGTGAACCTTTTAGACACCAAGTGCTC